CCCCTTGCCCAGCAAGGGTGAGGTCATTGGGGTGCTGATCGACTAGATCCGCGCAGCTCGTCTTCAGCTCAGGCAGAGCTTTGGCTCGGACTTTCCTGTGTTGCGTCTGCACTCGGACAGAGGCGGAGAGTTCTCCTCTGGCCTTCTGCGTGCCTACTGTCGTGCGCGAGGCATCCGCCAGTCCTTCACGCTTCCGGACTCCCCGCAGCAAAATGGGATTGCTGAGCGCCGCATTGGCATGGTCATGGACGTCGCCCGTACGTCCATGATGCATGCGGCTGCCCCCCATTTTCTGTGGCCGTTTGCGGTCAGGTACGCAGCGCATCAGATCAACCTCCACCCCAGGGTCTCCAGGCCCGAGACCTCCCCAGCCCTGCTGTGGACGGGGCAGGTTGACGATGCGTCGGCGTTCCGGGTCTGGGGATCTCGGACGTTTGTCCGCGACTTGTCTGCGGACAAGTTGTCCCCTCGCGCTGCTCCCTGCGTCTTCCTGGGGTTCCCCCCCGACGCCCCTGGGTGGCAGTTCTACCACCCCACCTCTCGACGTGTTCTGTCCTCCCAGGACGTCACGTTCGACGAGTCGGTACCCTACTACCGCCTCTACCCCTACCGCACTCCGTCCCTCCCCCCACCCCCGCTCTTCTTGGTACCAGGTCCCCCCCCGGTAGACCCCCTCCCCCCTCAGGGTCCTGCCCCTTCAGGTGTGTCCCAGGTAGACGCGGCCGAGCCTGTCGAGGTCACTGGTGACTCTGGTGGTGCTGCGGGAGCTGATCCTGTCGTCGCTGAGACAGGAGGTGCTACGCCTGAGGGTGCTGAGCCTGGGGGTGCGGAGACTGGGGGTGCTGAGCCTGGGGGTGCGGAGTCTGGGGGTGCTGAGCCTGGGGGTGCTGAGCCTGGGGGTGCTGAGCCTGGGGGTACTGTGCCTGGGGGTGCTGAGCCTGGGGGTGCTCTGCCTGGAGGTGCTTCGTCTCGCCGAGAGCCACTCTCCCCACAGGAGCTGCGTGAGTGGTTTGCCAGGCGCTGGAGGCGTGCTGCTGGTGCTGGAGGTTCTTCGGCTGCAGAGGGTACTGCTGCCGAGCGTCCCGGAGGTGCTCGTACTGTGGGTGCTGGAGCTGCTGGGTCTGAGGGTTCTCCTGGAGCTGGTGCTGCTGAGGGTGTTGGCGCTGAGACTGCCGCTGGCAGTCCGCCTGGCAGTGCTCCTGGTGGTGCTGCTGGAGGTTTTGGAGCTACTGGAGGTGCTGCTGGAGGTGCTGCTGGAGCGGGTACTCCTGCTGGGGGTACTGGTGCTGTCCCTGCTGTTTTTGGCGTCGCCGCGCGGCCCCGACCGTACTTGTTCCGCTCTTGCAGCAGGTTCTTGGTCTTACACCTTCTCCTGGTCCTCCTCCTCCCTTAGAGGGTCCACAGCCTGTCCAGTCACAGCCACAGCTACAGCCTGCCTCCCCTTTGCCTGCTCCTTCTCCCTACGCTGGTCCGACTGGAGGTCTTACTGAGCGTCGTGAGCCTGCGTCTCGTCCTGTGTCGCCTGTTCGTACTGCGCGCGCTAGTGGTCGCGGGTCGCGTCAGTGTCCTCCTCCTGTCCCTGGCACGCACCGGATGTCACTTCGTCCGTCCACTGCTCCTCTGCTTGCCCCTTTACCTTCTCCTCCCGCTTCCTCTCTTCCTGCTCTTGCAGACCCGGAGTCGGACTCTCTTCGTGCTGCCAGTCCTACTGTCACGCGTCTCCTTGCTACTGCTATCACTGACCCTTCCTTCGAGTCGTCTGCTGCGTCTGCCCTTGTCACTGAGCTTGTCGACTTTGCTGCGCGCTGTCGTCTAGACTACGCTGCCAGTCTTGTCGCTGTGTCTGAGTCTGCCTGTCCTCCGTCCGTCGGGGGTGAGTGTGCCCTTGGCACGGACGTCCTTGAGGACAGGCAGGAGGAGTTCCAGTGTCTGGCCGCCGCTTCACCTCATCTCGCGTCTGTACTGCTAGCCCCTTAGGGAGACCCGGATGCACTTGACATCCCGACTCCGCGCTCTTACGCGGAGGTGATAGAGGGTCCCTACTCCTCTTAGTGGCAGGCAGCTATGGATGTAGAGATGGCTTCCTGGAAGTCCACAGGCACCTACGTCGACGCTGTTCCCCCTCCTGGGGCGAACATCGTCAGTGGCATGTGGATTTTCAGGGTGAAGCGGCCGTCGGGTTCTCCACCTGTCTTCAAGGCGCGTTACGTGGCTCGTGGCTTCAGTCAGCGGCAGGGGGTTGACTACTTTCAGACCTTCTCCCCCACCCCAAAGATGACCACTCTTCGGCATCTGCTGCACGTTGCTGCTCACCGTGACTACGAGCTGCACTCTCTCGACTTCAGCACCGCCTTCTTGCAGGGCAGCCTGCACGAGGAGATCTGGCTACGTCGCCCACCTGGTTTCTCTGGGTCTTTCCCTCCTGGTACCCAGTGGAGTCTCCGGCGTCCAGTCTATGGTCTCCGCCAGGCGCCACGTGAGTGGCACGACACACTGAGGACTACGCTGGCGGCACTTGGGTTTGCTCCTTCTACTGCCGACCCGTCGCTGTTTCTGCGCACCGACACCTCTCTGCCGCCGTTCTACATCCTCGTGTACGTCGACGACTTGGTCTTTGCCACAGCTGACACTGCTGGACTCGCCTACGTGAAGTCCGAGCTGCAGAAGAGACAAACGTGCACTGACCTGGGTGAACTGCGTAGCTACCTTGGCTTCCAGATCACCCGGGACAGAGCACGCCGCACCATTACCCTGACTCAGTCACACATGGTGCAGCAGGTCCTTCAGCGCTTCGGCTTCACGTACTCCTCGCCTCAGGCCACTCCTCTGCCTACTCGCCACTCGCTCTCAGCTCTGCCTTCGGATGAGTCCGTAGAGTCGAGTGGCCCGTATGCAGAGCTTGTTGGCTACCTCATGTACCTGATGACCTGCACACGACCTGGCCTTGCATACCCTCTTAGCATTCTCGCACGCTATGTTGCTCCTGGTAGACACCGACCAGAGCACATGGCTGCAGCAAAGAGGGTGTTGCGCTACTTGTACAGTACGTCGGGCATGGGGCTAGTGCTTGGAGGGCGCAGTCCAGTGGTCCTCACTGGGCACGCGGACGCTTCTTGGGCTGACGACCAGGCTACGCAGCGGTCGTCACAGGGTTACACCTTCAGCCTTGGTTCCGGCTCTGTTTCGTGGCGGGCTACCCGCTCGTCTTCTGTTCTCGGCTCCAGTTGTTAGGCTGAGATCTACGCTGGGGCTATGGCTGCACAGGAGTTACGCTGGCTCACCTACCTGCTGACCGACCTTGGAGAGCAGCCTCGTTCTCCTCCAGTCCTGTACGTAGACAACAAGGTCATGCTGGCCTTGTGTCGAGAGCAGCGACTGGAGCACAGGACAAAGCACATTGCTCTCCGCTACTTTCTTGCTCGTGAGCTACAGCAGCGTGGACAGTTCCGACTTGCTTACGTGGCCTCTGAGGCCAACACTGCTGATGTCTTCACCAAGGCACTTGCGCCTTGTGATCATCAGCGTTGTTGCACGCAGCTGGGTCTTGTGTCTGTCCTGCCTCACTTGCTCACTTCTTGACCTTGCTTGTACCTTCTGCTATATATACTCTTGCTCTTGCTCGCTTGACTCTTGTATATCTTTATATATGATCTTGCATGTGAACTGGCCTTTTGGCCTTTGAACTTGTGCTCGGAATGTGTGGTGACTTTGTGATCCACCCTGAGCTTTGCTTTGCTTTGCTTGACTGGTCTTGTGACCCCTTGTTCTCCCCCACTTTGCCTATGGGGGTGTGTCAGAGCATTGTAGCTTATGTTGTTGTGTAGGCTATAGTGGGGTATCCCATAGGGGGTACAACCAATTAGGGTTTCATATTTGTACTCACTTCATTCATAGTTCATTCATTCTCTCGTTCACTTCTTCTCAGACACAAATGTCTCAATCGCTTTGTGACACACAAAAACAACATAAACTGTAGTGTGTCCCAATTGTGAGTCGCATTTCCGCGACCATTACTGTATTTTTTATTGGTCAGCGTGAATCGCGCTGACGTCGGTGACGAATTGTAATCCGACTCGTCAATGTGAAAAATTCGCACGCTGCTCGAAATGTCAATGCACCTGGACATCCTGCAATGCCAATTTCGTGCGGGAAAAAATCCCGCTCGTCGAAACCACACCCTAGCCAAGCGGTTGAAAAAAGGGATGTGCAGTCATTTGTGTCACCCAAACAAATGCGCACAACTGTACATCTCGCCTAGTCGCCTAGAGTCGTGATACATTTGGCAAATTTACAGGCGCGACTCGGGAAATCGGGGATTGAGACACGAGTGTCCCCGCAGGAATGCACCCTTAGCTTGTACTTGGTTGTTGTACATTGACTTAGTCTTGGTGGTTGTACATACAGTAGACTTTGTTTGTATATAGAGGGAGGGAGGGGAGCTTTTCTTAATTGTACATAGTACATGGTAATGAGATCTTTGTGTCACAAGCAGGGTGTGTCACAATGGTCTTACAGGACAATCATCTTCAAGGAGAGAGCAGAAATTACCGTATGATACGGTAGTACTACGGCAGTGGTTGGAGAAGTGAGATACCGTCATCCCCCGGATATAAGACATGTATGTCTTATCTCATACATTAAAAAAATCAGTCTTATAAATGGGCAAAAATCCGTTTAGAAGATACTTCCTCGTTATACATTTGCCATTTGCCGTACACACAAATAAGTGTCTTATAATGAGGCTACCCCGTTTATAAGAGACACCCGTATAATAGACAACCCTTGTCTACTATTCAACAGTCTTATATCCGGGTGATGACGGTACTAATCCTCCTCTCACATGAATGTACATTCACGAAATGGGATAAAAAGGCTGAACTTAGTCGCTACCTGATTTCCACAGAGCTGTTATGAAAAGAAATAACCACCTTACAGCTGAAAAGCTGGTTACAGGAAGAAATGCAGGCTGGAAAAAAACCACCTTACACCAGAAAAGCTGGTTACTCAGACCTGGTACACACAGGAACACAAAGAGTTCCCTTGATGCAAACACACAAGGGAGACGCTGCAGCGTGACGTGATCCATCATCAAACCAGGCCAGGCCACATTCCCACAACATTATCCTGCAATGGGGTCATGGACTCATGGGACAGGATACACCAATGAAAGCACATGTCATGTCTGCAAGCTGTACCAATACGCCCACAAGCACAATGCAAAAAAAAGGTACCAGTAAGCTCGTACCTGCTAGCTATCCCGGTCATTCCACTACCGACCCACAGCCTCCCTGCCAAGGACAGGCGGAAATGTGCTGGGCGAACCCCCCAAGCCAATTGCATCCAGCCGCATCCAACCGCATTTTTGGAGTTAACTAAAAGCGGCTGCCTCACTTCTGCGGTCTGAGGGCACCCAGATTTCCCAGAAACCGCCCCTTGGGAGCAGACTCAGTCACAGGGGCTGCAGGAGGAGGGGGTGCGTCATTGCTGGAGGGAGTGGGTGCTTGTGGGGGTGATGGTGCTGCAGCAGGTGGCGGGGGCATGCTGAAGGGAGGTTGTGGCGGTGGGGGTGTTGCGTCACTGAGAGAAGGATAGGGAGGCTGTGAGATGGATGGATAGAGAGGTTCGGGGGCAGAGGGATAGGGAGGTTGGGGGGGAGTGGGGTAGAGGGATTGTGGGGCAGAGGGATAGGAAGGTTGTGAGAGAGAAGGGTAGAGGGGTTGAGAGGGAGAGGGATAGGGGGGTTGGGAGGGAGAGGGATAAGCTGGTTGGGAGGGAGAGGAATAGGAAGGTTGGGGGGCAGAGGGATAGGGCGGTTGGGAGGGAGAGGGATAGGAAGTTTGGGGGGCAGAAGGATAGGGTGGTTGCGAGGAAGAAGGGTAGGGGGGTTGGGAGGGAGAGGGATAGGAAGGTTGGGGGGTGAAGGGATACGGAGGTTGCGAGGGAGAGGGATAGGGAGGTTGGGAGGCAGGGGGATAAGAAGGTTGTGTGATAGAGGGATAGGATGGTTGTGAGGGAGAGGGACCAGGAGCAGGTGAGGCAGAGGGGTAGGCGGGTTGACGGGCTGCTGTGGGCGGCACAGGAGGTGGGGCCCACATACGACCAGGGGCGTCTATGGCAGAGGGAGCAGGTGCTTCAAGGGAGGTGCCTTGTGCGGTGGAGGGGAAGGTGTTTTGTGAGGCAGAGGGAAAGGCAGCAGGTGAGCCAGAGGAGAATTCGGGTTGACGGGCTGCTGTGGGCGGCACAGGAGGTGGGGCCCACATAGGACCAGGGGCGTCCTTGACAGAGAGAGCAGGTGCTTCAGGGGAGATGCCTTGTGAGGTGGAGGGGACGGCAGCAGGCGGGGCTGATGCATAGGGTGCTTGCTGGGTTGACTGGAAGGGTGCTTGTTGGGCTGCTGGTGCAAACGGGGTGTGTGGGACGGCTGGGTTGGGTGCTTGGGGCCGATTGGCAGCGGCTAGATTGCCCAAGAACCGTCCCCCTGGGGCAGACGCGGGTGCAGCAGACCAGGCAGGGTTGGCAGGTAGAGCAGGATTGGGAGTTGTGCCGGGATTGTGCGATGGATGTGTGGATTGTGGTGTGGACGGGAAGGGGGATCTGGCTGGCGGTTGAGATGCTGCTGCTGACGTGGGCAGAGCGGATGGGGCAGATGCGCCGCGTGGCATACGCAGTATCTCCTGCAACAAAAAACAGATAGGAGGAAAAGGATTCGCTTGAGGAGAGCCGAGGAACTTGTGCCCTCCTGTCCCTGAACTAGCATGGCGGAGAGAGAGCAGTCCTCAGCTCATCCTTCAGAGGTCGAACTGCGTCCTCCACACTCTTCCCTCCAAACCTCTCCCTCTCAAATGCCGCCACGGCTTCGCCACTGGCGTTGCGGTGAGCCGCTACCAGCACCACCTCGTCTGCTGGCAGGAGCAGGTGGCGCATGGCCTGGTGGTAGAGCGCGAGGCACTTGTCTTGAACGGCCCGGTTGAATGCATCGACCACTGAGCCGGCTGTTGGGATGTGCCCCTTGTTGAGTGCGTTCAGGGTCTGAACAAAAAATGTAAGGGACAGTGACATGTAGGAAAAAAAGGGGAGAGAAACAGGCATGAAGGCGGCACATGGCTTGGTGGTAGAGCGCGAGGCACTTGTCTTGGACGGCGCGGTTGAATGCATCGACAACTGAGCCCGCTGTTGGAATGTGCCCCTTGTTGAGCGCGTTTAGAGTCTTGGGGAGGGGGAAAGGGGGCGGGGGTGGAGGGAAAGGGAGAACGAGGAGAGGAGGTGAGCAGGAGTGGGGGGGAAAGAAAGCCGCAAGAACTGCCAGCAGCAGCGCCTCGTCTGCTGGCAGGAGCAGGTGGCGCATGGCCTGGTGGTAGAGCGCGAGGCACTTGTCTTGAACGGCCCGGTTGAATGCATCGACCACGGAGCTGGCTGTTGGGATGTGCCAGTTGTTCAGCGCGTTCAGGGTCTGGGGGATCGGAGGTGGGGTGGGATAGTGCGCACATGGGGAACACAGGGCTAACAAGAACGGATGAAGGCGGCACATGTCGTGGTGGTAGAGCGCGAGGCACTTGTCTTGTACGGCCCGGTTGAATGAATCTACCACCGACCCGGCTGTCGGGATGTGGCCCTTGTTGTCGGCTGTCGGGATGTGGCCCTTGCACACAGCACCAAGTCTCACCTTTTCAAGCAGGTCAGCAAACTCCTCCACAGTGACTGACCTCGCCGATACAATCTTGGGCCGCACCAGCAATGCCACCAGCTGCCGCAGCTGGTTGTGTGCGCGGGGAAGCCCACCTTCTGTAAATCAGCGCATTCCTCCCCGGTGACCATCTCACCATCTCACTTTCTCGAGGAGATCAGCAAACTCCTCCCCAGTAACTGGCCTCCCTGAGACTATCTTGGGCTGCACCAGCAACGCCACCAGCTGCCTCAGCTGCTTGTGTGTGATGGGAGTCTCATCTTCTCCAGCAGCTCAGCGCCTTCCTCTCCTGTGATAGTGGTGGCAACACCTCTCAAATGCACCTTGCCTGCAAGGCTCACGCTCACCTTCACTAGCAGGTCTGCAAACTCCTCCCCAGTAACTGGCCTCCCTGACACTATCTTGGGCTGCACCGGAAACGCCACCAGCTGCTGCAGCCGCTTGAGTGCGCTCAGACCCTGCCTTCTCCAGCAGGTCAGCACATTCCTCCCACGTAACACGGTGTTTTGAGACTGTTAGAACACCCTGCAAACAATCAAACCTCACCTTCTCTAGCAGGTCTGCAAACTCCTCCCCAGTAACTGGCCTCCCTGACACTATCTTGGGCTGCACCAGTGATGCCACCAGCTGCCGCAGCTGGTTGCGCTGTCGCACGTACTTGGGGTCGAGCTCGTCATCTGACAGCTCGCACAGCCGCGTCCTTGCCAGGTGCGGCTGATGGGAGGGAAGGGAAACGGGTGGAGAATAGAGGGAAGGATTGGCAGCATTTAAGGGACTGGTAGCGCTGATAGCATCTGACGCACGTACTTGGGGTCCAGGTTGTCGTCTGATAGCTCGCACAGACGTGTCCTCACGAGGTGCGGCTGATGGGAGACAGGGGGAAGGGTTGGGGATGGTTAGAAGGAATGACAGCACTTCACGCAGCTGGTTGCGCTGGCGCACGTACTTGGGGTCCAGCTCGTCGTCTGATAGCTCGCACAGCCGCGTTCGTGCAAGGTGGGGCTGGTGAATGGGGTGGGGGAGGAGGGATGGGGGTGAAGGGAAGGAATGGCAACAACTGAGGGACTGGTTGCGCTGGCGCACATACGTACTTGGGGTGTAGCTCGTCATCTGATAGCTCACACAGCCGCGTTCTCGCCAAGTGCGGCAGGCAAGGGGAGGGAAGAAAGGCATGCACGCACACGCTGGTACAGAGAGCTCACCTGGGTCAACCCAAGCGCAGTGCTGTTGGCGGTCATGTAATTGAGTGACTGGCGGATGAGGTTTACTTGATCCACGTCCTTTGTCCCCCTCTGGGTTGAACCGAGAGGCAGACACAGGCATACTGGAGAGAAGAAAGACTGCATAAGCTGGTACAGCGAGTTTACCTGGGTCAGCCCGAAGGCAGTGCTGTTGGCGGCCATGAGGTTGAGCGACTGGCGGATGAGGTTCACTTGATCCACGTCCTTGTCTCCCTCTGGGTTTGGCACCGGCTGCAGTGCCCCCCGCACCATCTCCTGCACCGTCTTACCCTCTGGTGGGGTGAGAAAAGGAGAACGGGTGTGAGTGAGGGGTGCGGGTTTCGCCGATTAGAAAACAGCGAGTTTGGTGCCGGCTGCAGTGCCCCCCGCACCATCTCCTGCACCGTCTTGCCCTCTGGCGAGGGGGGCGGGGAAGAAAAAAGTATAAGACATGCGTGCTAATATGGGGAGAGTAGGTAAGGTAACATGGAAGCAGCAGGTTTGGAACAGGTGGTGCACGCGCGCACACACACACACACACACACACACACACACACACACACACACACACATCCACGCACACTTGCACACGCACACGCACTTAGAAAGTCTCGTTTAATGAGCCACAACAGCTCGGCTGATATGTTTTGAGCCGACACAAACACACGGGGACAAGCGGCATATCACACACACCCTCCCCTTTCCCCACATCCCCCCATCCCCCCCCCCCCCCCACACGCACACACACACACAAACCTAGAAAGTCTCGTTGGATGAGCCATAACAGCTTCGCTGATGTGAACACCTCGTCTCGACCCTGCAGACACACAGGGACGAGCAGCATCACAACCCTCCCCCCCGCTCGCCCCCCCCACTCTCTCCCCCTCCTTCCGATCTTCCCTCCCTCTCGCGCACACACGCACGCACCTAGAAAGTCTCTTTGGATGAGCCATAGCAGCTTGGCTGGTGTGAACACCTCGTCTCGACCCTGCAGACACACAGGGACGCGCACAAGTGAGGTTGGAAAAAGAACGCCAGTCAGGAAAACAGGTGTTACTTATGATATCAAACGGAAAACCAACAAAACAAACAAAAGGTGGGAAGGAGTTTCAGGCAAAAAATACAGAACTAGGTGGATGGGCGAGCAGAAACTAAAAAAATGAGTGTGATGAGTCGATTTTTGAGTCGACTCAAAAATACAGCACCAGGTCGATGGGCGACCAGAAAGTAGGGAGAATGAGCGGGGAGAGGAGGGCGGAAGGGTTGAGGAGACAAGGGCAGAATAGGGAGAGGGGGAATGTGGGTAGATGGGGAGTGGGGGAGCAGCGGAAGATAAAAAGCGGAAGAAAGTTATTTTTTCAACAGCAACCTAATCAGCTTATGAAGGTAATGGAAAGGGGTGGGAGTTGGGTGAGGAAAAGAGTTGGGTATAGCAAGCAAGAAAGAGGGCAGGCAGCGGAGGAGTAGGTTGGGCAGGGGTAGGGGGATGGTGGTGGAGGAGGATTTTCAAGGACAATGCAGCGAAACAAATAGAAGGCTGCTCTCCTCTCCCCCCTTCACTTCCCCTTTCTTAACCCTGTCTTCCCTCTTTCTCCACCCGATCCTTCCCCTTTCTTCCACCTTCCTTCCACCTGTCTTCCACCTCACCTTTACTCTGTTGGTTGGTTGGTTGCAGCACTCCTCCCCACACACACGCACGCGCACACACACGCACACACACACGCACGCACGCACACACACACATACACACACACGCACACACACACACGCACGCACGCACACACACACATACACACACACGCACACGCACACACACACACACGCACACACAACGCAAAAACACACACAGACACACACAAACTCGCACAGACGCACAAACAGAAACACAAACACAAACGCAAACACACAGTAAAGAAAAATAAATACAGAGGCGGCGCAACTCTTCAATCAACAATAAATAATTCCAGAAACCGGCATTTCCAAGGCATCTAAGTGATCCACAATGCACCAAATCCGAATGCGAAAAAAACTCCCATGCACCAAAATTTGTCCTCAGGAACTATTAACAGGAGCAAAAGGGCAAACGGCTGGGCTCATCCCTGCCCGCCAACAGAAAAAAAAAAAACTATCTTGTACAACCCCACCTACCCAGATTCCCCACCCACCCCCCCTCAACCAGTCTCCCTCACCCTGCACGCTTGTCCCTCCCCTCCCCCATCCCCCTTTACCCTTTCCCCACTCATCCCCCACCCTGGCTTTCCCACCCACCTGCCATAGAACTCTTCTGCTTGCTCAACAGCAATGGACAGCTTCGCTATATCCGCCTCCTTCACCTGTATGCATGCCCCTTCTCTCCCCCCTTCCCTTCCCCCACCACCCAACCCACCCCGTCCCCCTCCCCAACCTCCACCCACCTGCCATAGAACTCTTCTGCCAGTTCAACAGCGAATGACAGCTTGGCTATATCCGCCTCCTTCACCTGTACGCATGCACATTCGCACATGCAGGCACACATGCATACATGCAGGCACAGGTACATGCACATGCACAGCACACATGCACACATCCAAGCACACACACACACAAACCAGGAGGTACTGACACAAAAGCTGCAGGTGTATGGACGCAGGTGGGGGTTGATGCCCCCAACAGGGGAATGCCCCAGCAGCTAAACTCACCATGGCCAGTATCTGACTCAGCACACCGTGCGTCTGACACAGCATAACCTGCGACCGACTCACCGTTTCTGCAAGGTTGTATATCAGCACTGAGCTTAACACTGTAGCGAGGGCAAATATCCTGCACACCAAGCATGGGCCCGGGGGCGGAGGGGGTTGGAGAAGGGCAGAGAGGGGCAGAGAGAGGCAGAGAGGGGCAGAGAGGGGCAGAGGTTGCAAGGTTGTATATCAGAACTGAGCTTAGCACTGTAGCGAGGGCAAACAACCTGCTCACCAAGCATGGGGCCGCGGGGGGATGTGGGGGGAAAGGTGGTGGGGGGAGGAGAGGGGGGCGGAGTGGGAAGACAGATGCAAAGGGGGCCATACTGACATGGCTTTTAACGAAGCTAGTCAGGCAGAGGACAGGAATAGAGGGGACCAATGGAGGAGGACGAGAAGTGATTGGAGAAGAAAAGGAGAGGGGAAAGGTTGGAAAGGCGGAGGGGGAGGGAGGAGGGGAGGGTGGTGGGAGAATTTGGGATTGAGTGCATGTTGGGAAGGTTGAGGAAACTGGTTAAGGAATAGTACATGTCACAGGAGGGCTCGTCTTGATCAGAAAAGGAAAATAAAAGAAAAGGGACCAGAAGTAGAGGTGACAACAGGCGCTTGGCTTTTGAGACGTCTCAATAGGCGCTTGGCTCGGCCACCTGTCTGTCATCGAACCAACACAAGCAGCACGCGTACCTGTCATCGTAGACGGAGGACTTGCCAACGCTCTCAAAGCCCTCGGTGTCAAGAAAGAGCACCGATGTGGTCTGCCCGTTCACCTGCATCTCCATGGGGTCGCCCCACACCCATATGCCTGCCAGCGCCAAGAATTGTGGAAGTACATCATAGCAAACGATTTATTTTTTTTGATATGAAAAAAAAGACTGAAAGGTGAAAAGGTTTCTAAAAGGCGAAGAAAATATCCCTAAGGGTGAAAGAACTTCAATAAATGGATAGAATCCATAAATCTTAAAATGCGGGAAGAAAAATTGCACACGATGCAGTCAGCTGCTGAATGTAGGTGCTTTTGAGACGTCTCAAAAACACCCTCTCTACACGCCACTCAGCTGCATGTACGTGCCACGCCTGTGACTTTTGAGGCGCCTGAAAAGGTGCCACGCCACGCCAGTGTGTTTCTCCCTCTTTGATTGCCTGTTACTCACTCACCCTTGGTCTTGGTGTCGCGTGCATGCCCCACCCCGAACCCTGAAGGGAAAGTGCAAGTGAGGGGTGCGAGACACGTGTGGGGGAGAGAGATATGGAGGCAATTGTGAGGGAGAGAGATGGATGGTTTGGAATTGAATGGCTCAACAGATATGGATCATGATGTGAAACAGGGGACTGACAGGTATACCTTCATCGCACGTGAGTGTAAGCATTGAGGTGAGTTTTGAGACGCCTCAAAACTCACCTCAATGCTGACAGATATGGAGCATGATGTGACACAGGGGACAGACAGGCATACCTTCATCGCACGTGAGTGTAAGCAACTGGTTAAGTAGAAAAGATTTGCCTGATCTGTACGGCCCAATCACCTGAGAGGATGGTATGGCAAATACGACATGCAAAATATGGACACATACATGCACACGTATGTGCACGCTCAATGCAATCAACCATGGACACACACATGGCAACATAGCAGATGCACGCGGATTGGTTGGCACCGCCACCAATTGAGGCATGGATACGACACGTTCAATGGGCCTGATGAGGCAAGGACGGATGACATGTTAGCAGCGTGGTGGTTCACAATCAAGCAAGCAGGCAGACATAGCGCAACAATGGCAAACGGATTCTTGATGCTTCCGATCACGCTGAGACGAGACCTTCCTGGGACACCTTGGGCTTGGTGGTTCGCAAACAAGCAAGCAGGCAGACATACCGCAACGATGGCGATGGGATTCTTGATGCTTCTGATCACGCTGAGGCCCTCCTGAGACACCTTGAGCTTCGTGTGCTTCGTGTCTGGCTGTATTACCGGGTACCTGCACGCATGCATGCATGTGTGTGTGTATCACAACAAAATGTTCAGACATCCATGCAGGGCATGACAAACGGATGGCAACATAGGATATTGAGTCAGTTGTTGCTGGGACATCTTGAGCTTCGTGTGCTTCGTGCCTGGCTATATCACCGGGAACCTGCATGCACCACCACATTGAGTTTGGACGTGGCATGGTGCAGGCTTTTCACAATGTCTCAATATCCTGTATGCTACCGCATGACATGGCATGGCATAGCATGACAGGATGTCTCACATGACATGGCATGACATAGCATGCCAGAATGTCTAGTATGCTATCAAATGAAATGACCTGGCATAGTCGGGATGTCCGAATTGGTATCACAGGTGATGGCATGGGGTACGGTACGGTGTGCCATGCTCTGATATCGTACGGCATGGCATATTCTGCGTGAATTCAGTGCTAGACCGCAAGTTCAAGCCAAGCTGCTAACGCATCGTGGATAGAAAATCAGCAGTCTCGTCGTCGACACTAACAGCACACTCCAAATCACACCTGCAGCCTGTTTCCCACGTAACCTGATTAAATTCCAGATTGCGCACCTAACGCTGCCACCTGCCTCCTCTGAATCTAGAGATAGACATGGTTTTGACATGACATGGACCGCTTAGTTCGCCACCATACGTATTCCAATGTAACCGGGAACTTAGATAATTGCTGGAATCAGGTGCTACCCAAAATCTGCCAAACTTAGCACGGACGTCGATGCGTCTCGTAGCACGCAACTCCAGGCAAGTAGTAAACATAAATATCCCCTTCTAACGCCATTCCGATACCTAAGGACCTCATACTTCTTCAAACCGTCTACTTTCGTCCCAATAACCTCGTGTGTTGCTCAAAAAGCAGCTTCTTTCAAAGGAATCTAACTTGCTCGCTCTTCCTGCACGACTACTCACGCGCGACGATGCTTCGTGTGACCGCCGCTTCGCCAAACTTCGCCATCGCCTGGTGTTCGTAAGTCATCTGTGTTCTCCGCATCCTGACCGGTGGCGACTCTAGAGGTTGAGGATAATAATGTGAGTGTAACGAAGAGAAGGCTAACTACAGCGCGGTGCGATGATCTGGCCATGGCACCTGTGGACACAACAGCTCGGCAGGTGAAATCTGTTCGTAAAACAAAATATGACCATTATATACACCAAAATGAATTAACACATGGGGATGTAGCTCAGATGGTAGAGCGCTCGCTTAGCATGCGAGAGGTATGGGGATCGATACCCCACTTCTCCAAGAATTGGTTTTCACCACCTTTGTGGCACCTACTAGTTTTGTCCATTGTGTGGCTGTTCATACCAACAACCAGGGTTAACGCTTTCAGACTATTTAGTCTGATTAGACTGACGAATCAGACCTTTCTCTTAGAGGAAAATGTATTTCCAGAGTAATCCATTTTTTCATCACTGAGTGCCTCAGACTTACTGTTTTTTGGGCCCTTGATTCCATATAGTCGTTTCTGGAGTCTGACTCTACAGAGTAAACATTCTGTGGTCCCCGAGGATATCGAGGCGAAGTTTCTTAGAAATTTCTTTCCGATATACCCACCTTCGAATTGGCAGAGACTGCTACCACGCGAGCAAAGTACACTTCACAAGCTCGGGATACCAAATACACCCTATCTGCGACAAAGACACGCAATTTAGATTGTTGCGTGATTGGGGTAACCGTTGAAGTGTGAAATAGAAAAGGGCCAAAATACTTTTTTCTAGCGAATCGCTCAACGAATCGGAGAACTTTACAGACAATCGGGGGGTGAGGGATATCTCCCCACGGGAAAATATCGCACTTTTTGGTACTGAAATCGGGTGTTCTCTGCGCTCAAACGTGTGATGTCGTCACTGTTTCGTAGGTTGGATGAAGATACTGCCAGGCGCGCCACCAAGTAACAGTTCGTACCTACTGCCAGCTCATCTTTGCAGCCGCTCGGCCAGTTGGCACTTGCAAGCAAAATAGGTTTCACAGTGCCAGGTTCTATATATACACAGCAATCGCGCGCTGCTGCTGCTACAACAATCTCCCGAGTCACACGCCATTCACACCAGCCAGTCCAGAATGCCACCGACATGGGTCGGGCAGCGGCGTGCATGAGGACTATGTTGCAGTGAACTGTGCCTGCTACTCGCGTGGCACCAGGATGGTGGGAAATTTTTCACGTGGCGATTTTTTTCGCCGCAATTTCCCGTCAGCCAACATCCAAATATGCAAAAGGCATCTTGCAAAAATGCCCACTCGCCACCACACTCTTCCTATCTCCGGACAGCAAAACCTACCAGTCAAAACCTATCAATCCTCCACCTCAACTCTCCTCCTATCGTCATCATATTTCTCATCCCATTATCCATCAATCAAACAAAAGATTCCATACCAAGTCTTCCAATCCAAGCCACATTCATTCCACTCACCAAGTCTTAAAATCAAAGCCAAATACATCCCATTCACCAAGCCTTAACTTCAAGGCCACATTCCTTTTCTTCACCAAGCCTTCACTTCAAAGCCACATTCATCACCCCCATCTTATTCAACTCAACCAATCACAACTATTCATCATTTCCTGATCCTTTATCGAACATCAAGCTTCACCAAATACAAAAGGGTCCTCTTCATTTCTTCAAACTCATATTCTTCAATGCTACTTTATACCCAAACTCTCAACAAGTTCTTCAAGCTCCCTCAAGACCAACCTCAAGTCCTCCTCCTTATGCTCCAGCTCCTAAGGCTTCATCATCACCACCAACATCTCCCAACCCAAGCTCATAGCCATATGCTCCAATTCTAAAGAAGTTTGTGCTACATAGTTTTACTTCTAGATCATCAAGGATAGTCGATCACAAGATCCTACCATGTACCTCTTTTTGATTAATGTATTTTAAAGCTTCAAACAAGATTGGTGTATTTTTCTACCAAAGGTCCAAGCTCCAACCTCAACATCCAAGCTTGGAGGCTTCTTTTCATTCAACAAACAATATCTACAAGTCAACATTCAAGATCAACTTTTCAACATTCAAGATTTGAGGTTCTTTATTGACAACTAAGACAATATTTAAGCTTGAAGTGAAGATCAACTTCTACAACATAATAGTAAGAACTCTTTTCAAGTAAGTGGTTATCTCTTCCTCTATTTTTTCACAAAGTTTCTTTTACCGTACATAAAAGTTCATTTGCTATTATCAAGTTCTTTTATATTCAAGCTCTTTCCATAATAATCAAGTTCTTATTTTCAAGCTCGTTACAAGCTGCATTCAAGTATCTTTCAAGCCCTTTACCTTTTATTCAATACTTTCTTTTAAGCCAATCTTGTTTGGTCCCTTTTATCCTTATCAAGTCTATCTATCTTCTCCTTCAAAGCTTTTTTCATTATTAATTACTCCATACTTCAAGATTTCCTTTCAACTTGTTTTTGCTTTTCAAGTTGGTTTTCCTTTGATCTTACTTTTTCTTTCTAGGTGTTTTCTTTCTTTCTCTTTACCGTTTACCCTCCCTCGTCTATCACTTCAATTTCAATAGACTAACCCTGATGCGGATCCACCGACACTGACTTGTCAGACACACTGATATCAGAACACTAACCAATCAGAGTGCTTGATTTCTTGCCGAAGTGCCTTCAGAGTTGATTTTTTGGGGGGGGGTTGGAATCAGAGTGCCTAAATTTGAAACGTCAGCCCCGCCAACAACCATATGGAAGACTCAAGCTCCCTCATGACTGATGCTTCAGTTTCTTTCACTGTGCAATTGTGCACCAAAAGAGTTTACTCTGGGTACAACGCAACAACAAAAGGTCTTTCCTGACTGCGTATGATGGGGGTCATGGTGTCACTACTACACTATGAGATACTCCTGACAGCAGGATCATGCGGCACAGTTTTTAAAAAGACACAGGGTTGCACAGGAACACGGGGAAATTGGATTTAATTGCACACTAACAAGGCAGTGCACTTCAATTATAGACGAGCAAAGACCAGCATGAGTACCACTTATTCCTGCCTAATACAAGCACATTACCTCTTTCTCTCTGCTGCATCGGCCTTTGAGCGCCACTCATTCCCGACCAAACTTGGGTCAGCTCTGAGTCAGCCTGGAGTCGGCCCTTTGTCTGTGTCAGGCCTGTGCCCAGCTTGTGTCAGCCTTTGTGTCAGTCTTGTGTGAGCTGTGTGTCAACGGTCTCTCTCCCTTGGTCTGAGCGCACCCAGATTGCCCAGGAACCGACCCTTGGGAGCAGACTCAGCTGCAGGAGCTGCAGCAGACGGGGGTGCATCACTGCCGGAGGGACTTCAGAGTCAACCATAAGTCACTGCCTCATTTATGCGGTCTGAGGGCACCCAGGTTGCCCAGGAATCGACCCTTGGGAGCAGACTGGGTTGCAGGGGCCGCAGGAGGGGTAGGTGCGTCATTGCTGGAGGGAGTGGGTGCTTGTGGGGGTGATGGTGCTGCAGCAGGTGGCGGGGGCATGCTGAAAGGGGGTTGTGGCGGTGGGGGTGTTGCGTCACTGAGAGAAGGATAGGGAGGCTGTGAGATGGATGGATAGAGAGGTTCGGGGGTAGAGGGATAGGGAGGTTGGGGGGGAGTGGGGTAGAGGGATTGTGGGGCAGAGGGATAGGAAGGTTGTGGAAGAGAATGGTAGAGGGGTTGAGAGGGAGAGGGATAAGCCGGTTGGGAGGGAGAGGAATAGGAAGGTTGGGGGGCAGAGGAATAGGGCGGTTGGGAGGGAGAGGGATAGGAAGTTTGGGGGGCAGAGGGATAGGGTGGTTGCGAGGAAGAAGGGTAGGGGGGTCGGGAGGGAGAGGGATTGGAAGGTTGGGGGGTGAAGGGATACGGAGGTTGGGAGGGAGAGGGATAAGAAGGTTGTGTGATTGAGGGATAGGATGGTTGTGAGGGAGAGGGACCAGGAGCAGGTGAGGCAGAGGGGTAGGCGGGTTGACGGGCTGCTGTGGGCGGCACAGGAGGTGGGGCCCACATAGGACCAGGGGCGTCCTTGGCAGAGGGAGCAGGCGAATGAGGGGAGATGCCTTGTGAGGTGGAGGGGACAGCAGCAGGCCGGGCTGATGCATAGGGTGCTTGCTGGGTTGACTGGAAGGGTGCTTGTTGGGCTGCTGGTGCAAACGGGGTGAGTGGGACGGCTGGGTTGGGTGCTTGGGGGTGATTGGCAGCGGCTAGATTGCCCAAGAACCGTCCCCCTGGGGCGGACGTGGGTGCAGCAGACCAGGCAGGGTTGGCAGGTAGAGCAGGATTGGGAGTTGTGCCGGGATTGTGTGATGGATGTGTGGATTGTGGTGTGGGCGGGAAGGGGGATCTGGCTGGTGGTTGAGATGCTGCTGCTGACGTGGGCAGAACAGATGGGGCAGATGCGCCGCGTGGCATACGCAGTATCTCCTGCAACACAAACAGATAGGAGGAAAAGGATCCACTTGAGGAGAGTCGATCAACTTGTGCCCTGAACTAGCATGACGAAGAGAGCAGTCCTTTCAGTGCTTCTATTTGAGACGTCTCAAAAATAACCTCTATACACGTGGCGGAGAGAGCGGTCCTTTCAGTGCTGCTCTCTACCACCAGCCTCTTTTCCACGTGAGAAACATGTCAACGTGCCAGCAACATTCCTCATCTCTCTCTGGCATTCGCCCTTACCTATCCACGCCTTCTGCTCCCCACACCCCACCCTGCTCTCACCTCTTTCGCCTGCAGGTACTTGCTCCAGTGCCTTGCTGTGGAAGTCTTCTTCCACCCACCCGGCCCGCCGTTGTACGCTCGCACCACATACTCCTCACTCTGCGTGCTGTTATGGGATGGGGGCCGGAGGGAGGTGAGACACATATTTTGTGTGTGAGTATGCGCCGTCCGTGTGTGAGTATGCGCCGTCCGTGTGTGAGTATGCGCCGTCCGTGTGTGAGTATGCGCCGTCCGTGTGTGAGTATGCGCCGTCCGTGTGTGAGTATGCGCCGTCCGTGTGTGAGTATGCGCCGTCCGTGTGTGAGTATGCGCCGTCCGTGTGTGAGTATGCGCCGTCCGTGTGTGAGTATGCGCCGTCCGTGTGTGAGTATGCGCCGTCCGTGTGTGCGAGGCACAGCCAAAGGCGGACCAGTGACAGCAAGATCCATGCAAAAGCGGCCCTTATGGGTCGACCAGTAGCACTCGCATGCGCTTATGGGCGATGGAGCGACACAGTGTACGTCAATCCCATAAACGGTGCACCATGACAGGTCACCGTGCCGAAGTACATGCCCTAAAAGGAGCTGTGGAGCAAAGAGACGACGAATGACAACCGAACATGCGAAGTCCAGCACTCACATGCCACTGTACGTGGAGAGCCATGCAAGGTACGCCATGGCATGCCATAGTACATGCCCTCGAAGGGGCGGTAGATCAAAGAAGGGGCAACAAAAGACAACCAGAATCAAAATTACACACACTCACGTGCCCTTGTAGGTGGTGAGCCATGCAATGTACGCCATGCCATAGTACATGGCCTCGAAGGGGCGGTAGAGCATGGAGGAGGACCAGTCAACAGTGTAGGCGCGGTACCCCATGTCCCTCGCCAGCCACTCCGCTGACGATTGCAGCACCTGCAGCAAGGGAATGGCCCGTGGACAGGGACAAGGGGTGGTACTGAGAATGAGTGATGCAAGGTATGCCATGCCATAGTACATGGCCTCAAAGGGCCGGTAGAGCATGGAGGAGGACCAGTCTATGGTGTAGGCGCGATACCCCATGTCCCTCGTCAGCCACTCCGCTGACGATTGCAGCACCTGCAGTTGCAAGCACGGCAGGAGAAGAGGGAAGTGACTTTTAAGACGTCTCAAAAGATAGAAGAGGCAGGTGAGTAGGCGCGGCACCCCATGTCCCTTGCTAGCCACTCCGCTGACGACTGCAGCACCTGAGGTCACAAACACGGTAAAGGTAAGGCATAGTAGTGGAGAAACAAAGAGTGGTAACTAGTGTCCCTCGCCAGCCACTCCGCGTATGACACACCATCCCCACTGCTTCACACATCCCCTCCTCCCACAACCCCACACCTGCTTCTCACATCCCCGCACCTACCTCCCACACTCCCCCACCTGCATTAGTCCGGTGCTCGCCTCCCCAAGGTAGGCTCGAAGCAGTACGTCAGCGGCTGTCAGCCACGCACTGTCCACACGCGCACCTGCCTGCTTCTCACAGCCCCCCCCAGCGCATCTGCTACCCACATCCGCTTACCTGCATAAGCCCAGTGCTCGCCTCCCCAAGGCGGGGCTCGAAGCGGTACGCCAGGGGCTGCCACGCGCTCTCCACGCGCGCCACCGCGCACACTGCCAGCACCGCGTCGCCTTCATTTCCCGCCAAGCCTGTCGGCCACAACCGCTTGCCCCGCCCGCTGAAGTGGCGGCGCAGGAGAACGAGCGTCACTCCTTGGAGCTCTGGAGGAAGACATTGGGGGTTCCCAGTCGACGAATGAGCGTCATTCTATGCAGCCAAGGGGTAAGGCGTGGGGGTTTCAGATAAAGCACGAGCGTCATCCCGTGCAGCTATGGGGAAAGACTTTGGGGGGTTCAGAAGGAAGAACGAGCGCCAGTTCTCAGCCAGTTCTCGGCCAGTTCTCAGTTCGCGCACCTTCAAGGCCGATGTAAGGCACGAGCTTGTCGCCGACCCGCTTCATCTCGAACGGAACCTTCCCCGATGCTTCTCGCCTCCGTTCCCACACCGTTCTCACGCCCGGCAGGTCCCACATGGCTCGCATGTCGTCGGGACCCGTCCAGTCGTCCCAATAGTAGCTATGATGCGAATGACTAGGCGCGCGTCGATCCATGCGATCGCCAAAATGGAATCTAGATCCTGGACCAAGATTGAATCCGGATTTGATCCTTGTCAGCGACCGTCGCGACTGGCTGCAGGTTTTACTCGGAGTTTCAGGAGCGGCAAGACGAAGCGGAAGATGAGTTTTGTGCCAGGCACCTCGAATGCAAACACCTGAATCAGGTGGAAAAATCGACGGCGATGAATCTCGCTGACGTAGCAGGAATCCCCAACTGAAATTAGGAGAACACGGCGCGTTGAATGTCGGGATAGTCGGACGGAGCCGTGAATTTTGGATCTCGTGACAACGGAGTGCAACGGATGTCGGCGTGGTGGCCGTCAGTCGTTCATCGCTGGACAAGCTGCTGAGAAAGGGAGAAGGGGAAAAGCTAAGGGTCCGCATACACGACATCCGGTTCAACAAGAAATGGTGCGGATGGGGTATCTCTTCTAAAAAGTAGCTGACGCTGTGCAGGAGAACAGCTCTCGACTCGAACCGAGGACGCTACTAAAATGGTAGTGTGATATGACTACCATGTCAGCCGAAAATCCCAATGCTGAATGCTGTGCAAAGGTTTCGACTCGTCTCCAAGTACATTCGACTCGGCACAATCAAGGAACGACGGAACAAGACTACTACAGTGTGCACATTGAACGGTTTCCGTCTCATTCCGTCAATTTGCATGGCTTCCTTAGGGCGCGTGTCTTTTGGAGTGTATGTAGTTCAGGTTTTCTGTTCAGCTTTATCCATTTTAACTTCGGCTGACCTGTGGTCGACTTTCTCGACTATTTGTGGTCAATTCGCAGTGTCACCTTTCACATCAAACAGATGGAACAGCAAAGTTCGACTATGTACAGTAGATTCCGAGTCGTGCCCAAATTTCGTAGGCTACCTAGTCAAGACGACAGAGTTCGTGACGAATATGGCTACAGTAACTCGGTAAGTTGTTTTTTCGCAACCGTCGCACTATCCGCAAACTCACTGTGCACGAGCAGAAGAACACACGTTTGGATAAACGTGCACGTGAAAATTTGACTCTAGGTCAGTGTCCTTCAATTTCATTAAACCATGAACTGGGACACACGACTTTCGCAATCCAGGTGGTACGAAGCTAGCGAAACAGATTACCAGCAAAAAGTTGATTTTTTTTCGAACTCTATACCACAAGAGACGCGCCCTCATCCTCATCGAGACTCTCACCTAGCGCTGTGCTGGCTGGACCCAAACCAGCTCTGGTTTGGAAGTGCAACCAGAACTGGTTTTCCGCCTTTTGCTTCGGATGGAAGGCATGGTCTTTCACGTCAAGCGTGCTCTATTCTCCGGTCAGTGAGTGATTTGATATTGGTGGAATCGTTTTGTCAGAGCTCAGTGCGATACTTCGAGAAACAGGTATCTTCACTTGTTACCTTATTTCGCATCTTATGGATTCGTTCAGATTCGTGACCTGCTTACCCATCGTCACGAGCACAACCTCGGCTCAACACGTTACTCTCCCCTCTTCCCCTTCCCCAGCCCTCGCATAGCTGAAGTGACGACACTAGTCGTTCTTATATCGAGGTCCCGTCCTTCGTAGAACAAGCACCGATCAGGTCGCCGCACAACACTCCTGGGGCTTGTCGTGCAAACTCTTCAACTCTTAATTTTAAAGTCCACGGTTCAAAAGCCATGGGTCCGTCGCAGAAGCACGTATTAAATCTCCACATGGGATCGGCTCCCGTGTCGGCCACGCTCCATCCGTCCGTACTCTTCAGCATCTGCGACTCGTTCATTCGCCGCAACGAGGACACGCAGCGCGTCATCGGATCGCTCCTAGGAGTCGTGCATCCCGACGGCACTGTAGACATCCGTAACGCGTATGCCGTACCTCATAACGAGATCAGCGACACGGTACGAATTCTTCGATTTAGTCACACTCGCTATATTGACCTGTCCTTCCGGCACATAGCGGCCCTTCTACCCCTTCCAGATGCTCGAGATTGCCGTTCGTCTAGGAACCCTACCAAACCCTCTCATTTGTCGTGTCTCTCTCGTGCGTTTGCAAGGAAAGGCTAACAGTGGAAGGAGAGGGTAGAGCGAAAATCGCTCTGATGAAACGGAACCGACAGAACAGAATTCTGGTGTCCCTTTTTCCCGTTCCTGGTCTAAAGGGCTTTCTACACCTGACGTGCACCTGAGCTGTTTCGCTATGGCATTCCTCGCTAACGCATTTTCGTTCTCCGCGGCCCCGTGATGCCCGCCGCAGGTGGCGCTGGACATCGAGTACCATCGCACCATGGCGGAGCTGAGCCAGCGCGTCAACCCCAAGGAGACCATCGTCGGCTGGTGAGTGTAACGAAGGTGCTTATATTGAGAGACGAGTCAGCGAGTCAAGTCAACTCCATGGAAGCGATCGTGGAACGGTGAACGTAACGAGAGTGTTGGTTGGGGCCGTCACCTGCGAGCCAGCTGGTTAATCCCCAGAGCGAACATGGGATGCTGAACTGTCACGCACCAAAGGTAGTGTTGAGGCTCATAACGAGGATGGTGATAAAGTTCTCAATGGTGAGTAAGGATCTCCCCCCTCTTCCCTCCTCCCCCCCTCCCCCTCCCCCTCCCCCTCCCCAACCCCCATATCTCACCCTCTTTGCTTTCGCCTCCGTGTTTCATTCCCTCTCCCTCCCTCATTCCCCACCCGCTCCCTCATTCTCCTATCCATATTTCCTCACACTCCATCTCCCTCAGGTACTCTTATGGGCCCTCAGTTGCGTGAGTCCGTTTGACGCGTTTATCCACGACTTGTACACCAAGGAGGCGGGCTTTAAGACAGCTCTAACCTCTTCCCTCCTCCCCCCACACACACTCCCTCAGGTTCTCCACTGGTTTGGGTGTGAGTTCGTTTAACGCGTTTATCCACGCGACTTGTACAGCATGGATGCGGGCCATGACGTGCCAAGACTACTTGAATTCACCTCTCTCTCTCTCCACCGTCTCTGGTGTGAGCGCATTCGACGTCCTCATTCACGATTTCTACACCGAGGAGGCGGCCAACCCCATCCACCTCACCAGTCTCATTCACCTCTTTCCCCGTACACATGCTCATTCTCCTTGCAGGCACTCCACAGGCTCGGGCACTCCACAGGCTCGGGCACTCCACAGGCTCGGGCGTGCGGTCCTTTGACGTGCTGATGCACGATTTCTACACCAAGGAGGCGACTGAATCGGACTGTTACATTTCACCTCTGTCCCCACATAATCCCGGCTCTCAGGTACTCTACCGGCTCTGGTGTGAGCCCCTTCGACGTTTTGATTCACGACTTTTACACCAAGGAGGCGGGTCACCCCATCCATCTCACCATCGACACCACCTTCCAGTCGCTCGCCGCTGGTGGTGCTTCCGGCCAACCAGGCGGCGCCACGTCAGCGGTGCGCGCGTACGTGTCGACGCCGCTGTTCATCGGCGAGAAGCAGCTGGCGGCGGCGTTCCAGGAGATTGAGGTGGACATGAGGATGGCTGATGCGGAGAAAATTGGATGTAAGTGAAAAGAGAAGGAGGGAAGGGGGAGGGGAGAGAGGGGAGAGGGGAGGGGGAGGGGAGAGAGGGGAGAGGGGAGGGTGGAGGGGGGAGGGGAGAGGGGGGAGGGGGGAGAGCGGAGGGGGGAGGGAAGAGAGGGGAGGGGGAGGGGAGAGAGGGGAGAAGGGAGGATTAGGGAACTGGGCAGAGTGAGTGGCAGGGTGGCGGCACGTTGTGGGCTTCCGTCGCATCCCTTGCATGTGACCTCTTTCTGTCCCCCCTTCCCTTTTCACTCCTTCTCCCCTTCCAGTTGACAACCTGCGGTGCACACTTGTGGAGGGGTTGGAGGCGACCATGGGGCCACCATGGGGCGATTGAATGACCCTTGCAACCCCCTCCCCACCCCCTTCCAGTTGACAACCTGCGCAGGACAAGCGTGGAGCGCCGACCAGCAGACATGGAGGGGCTGGCTGGAGGCCACCATGGGGCGACTGCAGCAGTCCCGCTTGTTTCACCTACCACCCGCCTTCCCTACGCCCCTCTCCCTTCCCCAGTTGACAACCTGCGCAGGACAAGCGTGGAGCGCCGACCTGCAGACATGGAGGGGCTGGATGGAGGCCTCCATGGGGTGACTGCAGGAGTGCCACTTGTTCATCTACCACTCGCCTTCCCTAACGCGACTCTCCCTACGCCCCTCTCCCTTCCCCAGTTGACAACCTTCGCAGGACGAGTGTGGAGCGCCTACCAGCGGACATGGAGGGGCTGGAGGCGACCATGGGCCGACTGCAGGGCATGGTGGATGGAGCGCTGGGTTATGCGACTGATGTGGTGGTGAGTGGTGTTGAGTGGTGTAGTAGTGTGGTGTGATTGTGTTGGGGAGGGAGCATGGTGGGATTGCACTGCAGGGCATGGTGGTTGGCGCCATGGGTTATGCGACTGATGTGGTGGTGAGTGGTTGAGTTGAGTTCAAATGAAGTCATGGACTCAAGGCATGGTGTGACTGTTAACAAAGGCATGGTGTGACTCAACAAAGGCGGGCGACTGCAGGGCAGGGCATGGTGGATGGATGGCGTTCTGGTGTAAACTGAGACGGCTTTTGAGGCTTGAGGCTCCTCAAAAGTACTGCAGGGCAGGGCATGATGGATGGATGGATGGCGTTCTGGCATATGTTTCTGATGTATGTGGTGGTGAGGGATTGTGCTGAAGGCATGGTGTCATTGTAAGTTGTGCGTATTGAACCAAAGGTTTGGTGTGATTGTATTGAGGGCGTGGTGAGTTGTGATACTACATTGATGATATGGTGTCTGAATTGTTGTCTGCCCGCCTGTTTCTCGACACGTGTCCCTCTGTGTTTCTGCATCTCATGTCTCTCTCACATCTCCCCTGTCTGCGTGTCTCACCTGTGTGCATGTCCTTTCTGTGTGTGTGTCAAACCTGTGTGTGTGTCGCCTGCCCTTTTGTGTGTCGCCCTTTTGTGTGTTGCCCCTGTGCATGCGAGCAGGAGGGCAAGATGGAGGCGGACAACGAGGTGGGGCGGGCACTGTGGGATGCCGTGGCAGCAGTTCCGCGGATCAGCTCAGAGGCCTTCGACCGGCTCTTCAACAACAGCGTGCAGGTGAGAGCAAAGGGGGTGGGAGGGGAGACGGGGGTGGGCAAGCAAGAGGTGAGAGTGGCAACAGCAGCAGCAGCTCTGGCAGCAGTGCCGCGGATCAGCTCAGAGGCCTTGGACCGGCTCTTCAACAACAGCGTGCAGGTGAGCGGGGTGAAGGTGAGAGTGGCAAGCAGATGGGAAGGGTAAGCGGGTGGGGAATGCAAGAGTGGAGAGTGGCAGCAGTGGTGGCGGTGGGATGGCAGCAGTAGCAGCTCTGGGAGCAGTGCAACGGATCAGCTCAGAGGCCTTCGACCGGCTCTTCAACAACAGCATGCGGGTGAGAATGGTAAGCAGGTGAGAGTGAGACACACGCACATGTGCATGGGGGATGGGTGAAGGGGAGAGTCTGTATCCCACGGATCAGCTCAGAGGCCTTCAACCCCCTCTTCAACAACAGCGGTGCAGGTGAGCGGGCAAAGTGCGGGGATGCATGGTGCATGCACGTGAGAGGCATGCGTAGCTATGATGGTTGCTGGTGGGAGGAATGCTGATTTCACATTATCCGTGTCTCACTCTCCTTTTTCCATGGCTCTTCCCTCCTCTGCAGGAGATGCTTCAGGTGTACCTGACTCACTGCTTTCTCACGTGCTGTTCTCACCTCTCATACTCACTCTCCTCTCCCAACATTGCAGGACGTGCTTTTGGTGCTGTACCTGGCCAAACTCTCTCTCTCTCAATCTCACTCCCTCCGCACCCCCCAATGCAGGACGTGCTTTTGGTGCTGTACCTGGCCAACCTCTCTCTCTCAATCTCACTCCCTCCGCACCCCCCAATGCAGGACGTGCTTTTGGTGCTGTACCTGGCCAACCTCTCTCTCTCAATCTCACTGCCTCTGCACCCCCCAATGCAGGACGTGCTTTTGGTGCTGTACCTGGCCAACCTCTCTCTCTCAATCTCACTCCCTCCGCACCCCCCAATGCATGACGTGCTTTTGGTGCTGTACCTGGTCAACCTCTCTCTCTCAATCTCACTCCCTCTGCACCCCCCAATGCAGGACGTGCTTTTGGTGCTGTACCTGGCCAACCTCACCTGCTTTCCTCAACCTCTTTCTGTTCCCACTCTCCTCTTCCCCTTCCCCTCCGCACCCCCCAATGCAGGACGTGCTTTTGGTGCTGTACCTGGCCAACCTCACCCGCGCACAGCTGGCACTAGCAGACAAGCTCAACACAGCCGCCCAACAACTTTAGCTGACTACCCCTCTCTCTTGCTGGGCGGGTTACGGTATCTCCATGTCTCTCCGCCTCGATAGTGGCGCCTGTCACTAGCAGACAAGCTTCACACAGGAGCACAGCTTCCAACTGGCCAGTTTTGCTTGTTTTTTATAGATTTTTCAAGTGTACTTAATCCTGTGCATCGAAAGAAATAGTTGGCACCACCTGACAAGCTTAAAGGACACATCCAGAATTGCCGTGTCGGCCCCAAAACTGTCACCACTTTCGTGTGATTGGTCGAGGGTTTTGAGTGGGTTTTTTACGAGATTGGTTCTAGATTTCCCCACCGAACCTGTCTCGGGGGTTTCCTGAACCTACATTTTTTTCGTTGTGTAATTCAGGGTGTGGCCTTTAAGCCGGGGAGGGAAAAACTGTGTGACTAGTTAGAATGCAAGACTAGGTATTGGTATACTGTGTCCTCTTTTCAAGAAGTGGGTAGCATGATACAGTTACTGCTGCACAAGAACAGTGTTCATTGATAATGAGGGTACCAGTACATTCCATATTAGCATCCTATCTTGGTTGCATTTGACAACTGAGAAAGTGCAAACGAGATTTAGTATACAGACTTAAATATACTGATACATAAATACTTTCATACTGATTGATTGATGAACCCTATTAGATCCTAACGTAAGCTATACAGTCCGCAGTGTAGCCTGCATATATGGGCTATTAGATGCCCTAGTAGCCCTTCTGCTAAGGAAAAAACACGGCGGGCCTAGATCCTTCAGCTCATGCTTAGCATGAGCTTTACCTCTTATTTTTAGGAAGAGACAGCTAGTGCTTCTCAGAAGAATAGGGAGGTCTTATATGGAGCACATGTAAACCGCGTCGCGGAGTGGGGATCAGGGGGTGACCCCTAAGCTGACTCGGCTGCCTCACGAAGCGAGGGGGGACAGCTTGTAGTGGCGACGGTGACGTGGGTGGTCCATGGATTGACGATCCGGGGAAGAGGGCGAGCAGAGCGCGGAAGAAGGGGACGAAGGCGAGGAAAGCGGGAAGGTGGCGGATGCTGGAGGGGAGAGCGGAGACGACGGGGAGCCTGGGGAGAGGGGGGAGAGGGTGGAGGAGGGGGAGTGGGGAGTGGCGGGGATGTCGGAAGAAGCGGGGAAGCTGAGCCAATCGAGAGTTTTTCTCCTCGGAATGGGCTGAGATCTCGGAATTCCACGCCCCTTTGAGTCACGCTGAGCTTGTACGGAGTCTTTTTGCAATTTCAGGACCGGCGACATCAGCCAATGAGCTGCAGGGATGGCAGAAACAGCAGCCTGCTTCGATTTCGTGATTGGCTGTCTTCTGATGGGTTCGCTTCGCTGTGTTACGACTCGCGTCGGTCTCCGATTGGCTGCTGTCACTCGCCCGGCGACCCAGGGATGCTGCAGAACTTCCTGAATATTTGGCCGTTGGGTTGAATCCACAGTCATCATCCGACGGATGAGATGTTTCGCCTTCTCAGATATCGACGGCCAAGGTGAGACCGAAAAGTCGACCTCCGGAATCAGAACTCTCTTATCGGATGGGAAAGAAGGGAGCTTAGCTGATAGCATGGCGTACAATAGGACTCCCAGGGACCACACGTCAGCTGTAACGTTGTACGCTTCAGATGCAACGACCTCAGGTGCTTCGTACGGCGCGCTCCCTGCTGCTCCACGGATCATGAAACCCTCGGGGATCTGTAACGCGAGGCCGAAGTCTCCTAAGCAAGCCTCGACCTGATTTCTCCCACTATCGGAAGTTCTTGTAACGAGTAGGACGTTTTCTGGCTTGATATCCCGGTGAACGATGCCGTGCACGTGGCACCATCTCACGGCCTCCGCGATTTGCGAGAAAACCACAGCCGCAGCTTGCTCTGGAAGGCCTTTCGCTTGGCTCACGAGCGCGAACATATCGCCAGCGTCGCATAAATCGGTTACTATGTAAACCGTTTTGTCGTCTTCGAACAGCGCGAGAAGCTGCAGTACGTGGCGATGCCCGCGTAGCCTCTCCATACTCGAAACTTCGTTCTTTAACGACTCCAAGTCGTGCGCTGACAGCTGCGATTTGCGGATCTTCTTGCAGGCGAACCAGCTTCCCGACTGGATATGCATGCAGCGCCAAACGCGGCCGAATTGGCCCTGGCCGATGACCTGGTCGAAAGTGAAGGAGCTCAAAAGCTCCGCCGTGGGACCCGCTGACGGGAAGAGCCTCACCATTGCGGGATGGTTTCCGCTAACAAAATGGCTGATATCAGAAGAGACGTAAAGAGCACTGAGTCTGCGGAGATCTTGACGATTAGTCGATGGGGAGTATGCAAGGTGCGGCCGCGTGGAGCGAGGGCAAGCGACGAGGTTTGCTCCAAGGACGGGGCTAATATCAGCATATGATTGCGGATGATTTCATTTAGGACACCTGAGCTTTGAATGAAGACTCGTGTTGGCTGAAATTCTGTGTTAAGAAAGGACAGCACATTCTCAAGTATGTACTTCCCTGCGGGTGCAATGTGCGGCTCGCGGGAAACGAAAATGCTGTGGGGACAGCGCGAAAAAGGGGGGATGTGTGGAGGGGAGGAAGGCGGGAGGATGGTACAAGCGTTTGGTTGCACGAGGAACAGTGGGAAGAGAAATGCAATGAATGGTTCGGTGGATCTGCCTCAGGCTGTGCAGTCGGACTTGAGATTTAGGAGATGGCATGTGACTGTAGTACCACCAGAGTGCGCTAGAGACAAAAGGAATGAAAGAAAACAAGAGGCCATGCATGATGATATATGGAGCAAACTAGACGCTTTTGTAATGAACTTGCTGAACATGCTGCTATATATTCGTAAACGACCAATGACAGCGAGCATTCTTTTCCCTCACACATAAACGTGAGCATGTATGGCGTCACATGAAAAGCTGTTCAAGCTGTTGTGGAAGATGGTGCAATATTTCCGCCAACTGTTGTCATCTGTGGTGAGTCTGAACGAGAAACATGGAGTTGCATGGTTGACATCCTTTCGGGTAGATGACGTCAACCATACAATTCTCATGAGCCCCTTTTTTTTCAATAATCAATAACGATTGGACCCATTCACGTGTGGTGGAGTTTCAGACAGACTCCGCAAATTCCTGTCCTATTCCAGTCCAGAAATGTAGGATGGCTTCACGTTTGTCTTCTCACAAGACCAGAATAGTGCATTGTTTAGGTGCAAAATTTAAAACCACTCCCCAGGAATGCAGGTTTCTGTGCTCGTTACCACGGGTGACAGTGTTCTAGCAATCTCAACTTGCATTAAGGAAAACAATTGAATTCATAATTCTGGGGTGTAGATAATAGATTCTTGTGCTGTTGGGAGAATCAATTGAAACAGTAACATTGAGAACGGGGAAAGTGGCTGACTGACATTAAAAGCATGGATGGGTATGGGCTGGGCTGGATGAGATGGGATGGGATAGGACGGGATGGAAAGGAATGGGATGAGATAGAATGAGTTGGAATGGGATGGGATGGGATGGCATGGCATGGGATGGGATGGGTGGGATGGGATGGGTGGGGTTGGGGAAGGGTGGGGTGGGCTGGGGTGGGTTGGGGTGGGGTGTTTTGAGAGAACGGGTGGAGGTTTGCCATTGCCGTTGCCAGTCTTTGGCGGACCCGTGTGGGGAGCACGCACGGAACTATGGAAGACGGCGTACAGCAGCTGGAACAGTACAGATGTGGGTTTCACTGGAGCAAGGTACAGGTTGGCGCACATTTCAGGACGTGTCTCAGGACGTGTCTCACTTCCGACGAGTCTGCGAGCCGGTCCGCACTTGGAAATCTTGTACCCCAAAACCGTGGACTGGTGGACCGAAGATTTTGAGACACCCTCTCAGGACGTGTCTCACTTGGGCTGGTCCGCCAGTCCGCCCAAACCTGGTCCGTCCCTGAATTTGTGCCTACAGAAACACCCTGGATTGGCCCATCGGACTAGGGTGGACCAGCCGAGTGAACCAGCTTCGGACTCGTTGTTGTTGGGTCCGCAGATCCACTCTACAGTAGCGTGTAGGCGAGAGAAGCTAGGCTACCATGACGCAAGACTGTACAGTACACTTGCGCAGCGTCTCCCTGACGCGTGTGGGCGTCAAAATTTTGCGACAGAGAGAGAGGGGATTTCGTGATTGTTCGCCAATACAATGACTGTTCAGGGGTTCGACGTGGACCAGCTCGCTGAACCTGGATATCCTCCCCATTATAGTCCCTTTTGCCCGCTAAAACGAGGGTGCTGGTTTGCTACACCCACGGTCCACATTGCTCAGGGAGCGGGTCCACGCTTGGGTCCGATGTGGCTTGGTGGTCCCCATCGCCTCGCTGAGGGATTTGAACACCTTCTCAGAAATGCAGCTTGCCTCGCTGGCATGAAACAACCATCAGGGTACAACTACAAATGACAAAAGGAGCCACACCACCAGCTAGAGGCCGTTACTGCTTTCTTCATAGCTAGGCTGTTCAGGCACTGACTGTTCCCGTGAGAAGCGGAAGGCGGTGGGTTGGTCGTAACGGGGATTTTCCGTTTCATCTTTCGTCGTGGTTCGGTCTGTCTAGGCGCTGCCACGATGTTGGGCGCATGACTTGAATTCCGTACGCTCGGTCGGGTATTGATAGATATAATTCGGTACATCCACAAATCACACAAGACGACCTAGTTGCATCAAACTTCAATCGTTTTGAAATATTATATGGAGAGTTCAATAACAAATGCCGGGCCATGATCATGCCTACTTGTACGGCACTACAGGAGTTCAATAACAAATGCCGTTCCAAGGGATGCACCTTGGAATCAAACAAGTATGAACAGAACTGATTGTTTCTAGTATCTTGTCCAGACTGCAATAACATTCAATACACTATCCTACAGTTTCCTGTTGATAAAATGGACGCCTAGTGCTACTGCCATGGCCCAGATGCCATGGTAACAGATGAAGGCGCAAAAAGGTTCCTAACATAGCGCGAACACGAGGAGGTGACAGCTGGCATCACCG